CTACTTGATCGCGAAATTGCTATAAATCTACAACAGTATTGCAATCGCGGTAACTACGTCAAATGACCACAAAATATCGGTTTGTGATGACCAATAATGCAGTAATAATACACTGGTCTATGATATTATGGCATGCGGGCGATGCTTACTTGCTACCGACTACGGTAATTCTTGTTGATCGTCAACCACTCGGTATTTTGTCGTTGAGTATTTTATTACGAGTGACGTTGCCAAGGTCGTTCAGGTGACTAATAATCGAATTGTTTTGTTTATGGTGTTCTTTTTTTGTTTTCAATGTATTTTTTTTTTTTGGGGTGATTTGGCGAAGAGTTTAAACTTTTTCGGTTTTAGAATGTTTTGAACTGTATTATATTGTTTAGATTATTATTTTTGTGTATGAACTCATTAATAACGTAATAGGTTATTAGGTGTTACATGTTATGAACAGATGTATCTCTATTTTTGTTGTCAATGTCCAAAGAAGGGCTTTAAAGTAAGCACAATTGAAGTCTGGAATTAAATATTTACGTTTGTGAATTGTGTTTGTGTGTTTCATTTACTATTTCCTTTCTTAAATCTTAGCTAAGAAATCTTAAAGCTAATTAAATACTTTTCAACTATTTACCTACCTACTTGTACATAAACGTGATGTGACGATGTGTATATGCCTTAAAAGGCTCTTAATGAACATCTTGTACCACTTAAAATTATTAATATTTAATAGACACTTATAGCAACTATAAAATTTTATATATCATCATTACGGATTTAATAAAAGTTCCTCGTTTTCTCAACTACCAATTAGGTACATAAAAATATTTTACAACCTAGTGAAACTTCACATTAACTTATTAAAATTAACTAAAGACTAGTAGAGATTTTCTCAGTATAACCACGTGTATAACCCGCAATTTGTAGTTAATTTAGTATGTCTCACGATAGGTATTATAAAACTTATTAAAAGTTAATTTATTTAAACCTAATTACCGATATAAAACATTCAGAAAACAACCAACTCTTAACATTAACAAAGGTCCATACTTCGTATCAAGCAAACATTTTATTAAAAACAATTTGTCCATTTTCTAAACACACTGTTTAATTCACAAAACGTTTTGTTTAAATTCAACTTACTAGATGCCGCTAGTGTGTGCCGCACGTCTTTTCCTCCAATGGAGAATTAGCTAGCATCACACCATTAGACGATCTATTTTTGACAGCTACAGTGATTGGATATATAGATTAGCGCCATCTATTGAGCAAAAGATCGGTAGTTCATTCGCCAATATACCAACATTTGTCCAACATTATGAAAACATGCCTGCTGGTGACTCATGTGCGGTCATTGCCGAGAATAGAATAAATGACATGAACACACACACATAACTAAAAGGTATTACGTAATTTTGTGACTACTAAGTACCTAACTAAAGAAAATAGTTTGTGAATGTTATTATAGTAGATGTAAATTTAAAAAAAAAACATAGTTTAACAGCTTCTCTATGACATAGACTAAAATTTTAAACTTTTGCTTATGAATCAATGCTTTCGTACCTCTAACTAGATACCTTCTCATTGCAAATAAAGTATGTGATATAACAAATATCACATTTATTATAAAAAAAGATTGAAATAAATCACTAAACCAAGTAAAACTTGATGATTCAACACTGTCCTATGTAGATTTAAAATTCAAATAAGTTTATTCATAATAATAGTGACACTTGGTTAGTAATAACAGCTTGATAATAGCAGGAAATAACGTTACAAAATTCATTTAGTTCACCGAGTGAACGAATGAACAACTGAACGACTGAATGAGATTGATATTAATGAGCTAAATTTAAACTGTTACACGTGAAACCTATTGTTTTAATTTAAAAGGTAAGTAGAACAAATTAGGTCTATTTAGAGTTGGGTGTTTACTGCATTGACATACCAAATATGGTTTTGAGTACAGTTACTATGAAATGTAAAGTATTTTTTTTAATTCTAATATTAAAATAGAAATATATACAATATTTTTTTTAGAAAATCTTTAGCCTAACATTATCTATGTCTGGTATTGCAGACGTTCACAAACTAAACTGACAGACTAAAGCAAATGTTTTCCATCTACAGCCTAAAGGTAAAAGCCTTAATTTCTTTATTACTGATACTACTGATATCTTTAGTCAAGAAATAACATCACCTACTGAATTATTTAAAACTGAGAAAAGTATATTCATGTGAGTCAACCGTCATTTTTAGTAAACAAGAAGTCATAATAATTGTTTTTGTTTTTTTTTTAACAAACTACAATTTCGATGTCATTAAAATATTATCAAAAAGGGTGATTCAATTATTTTTACAAATAATTTGCTAACCCTAGCAAAATAATGTTTAAATTCAATAATTGGCGTACGCTGGTAATAAATTGCAATTAGGCTGACAAGGACAATGCAAGTATAGGTTATCTATAATTCTCTATATTTTATACAATTTAGGTACCTAACACAATTATCAAGCTGACCAAATAATTGCCAACATTTAAAACATGATATTTATTTATCTAATATTAGCGTTGCTATTGTATAGCACTCCGTTTTTATATATTAAAAATGAAAGATTAGTACTGTATTTTGATATAATTTAAATAATAACATTTTTAGACATTTTTCAAAAAACAGAAACTATTCAACTCTATGTTCAAAAAAAAAAATATTTTAACGGTGTATTTTTATCAAAATGAAAGTATTAATTAATATTTCCTTTTAAATTGAATAACAAAGAATCCACCTAACTATTAAAGATCACAATACAAAAAAAACATCAAATCGATAAAACCACAGATAAACAATCGCAAGAAATAAAAAAAGTAAAAAATGAATTATGGCCTCATTTAAAAGACTTCTTTCTGTTGTCTATAATTATTTTTATTCGCCCACTTATAAAAGGTTAAAATGTTTGATTCTGACAGGCAATTAAATTGACAGAAAAATATCTTAAGTGCATTGAATGAATGGCAACTATTCTTTTCAAAATTTATTACGTTGCGAGCTATCAAGGGCGACATTTAACAAATGATTTCTAAATGTTTTTTTAACCTATTCAATTTCTAATGCAATCTGTCCAATTTTTTATTACGATTTTTATTAAGTAGCTCCTTAGATTTTAATCTTGGATAAGTACCTATTTGTAACTTAACTAATATTTATAAATATTGCGAAAACAATACAATCATCAGTGACCTATTCATAAGTCAAAGAAACACACACCAAGTCTTAATTGACATGAACTTTAACAATTTTAATAGGAACATAACAAAAAGTGGTTATAAAGAAACATAAATTAATGAGTGAATAATGAAATATCACAAATAACAGTTACATTATAACAATTGCACATAATTAATGTTATTCATAGACAAGCGCAACTCTATTGCTGTTCGAAGCGTTCAACTTTGTTAGCTGTCAAAACAAGTGTGACATAATGTAACAAGCAATTCATTACTGTCTTCGACATACAATGGGAAAGAAACCCATAGCCCACGGTGCTACAATGGAGCACAATCCATACAATCACATTAAGTACCTTTTTAGTACAAACACAACAGTTGTAAACTATTGTAAAATAATTTCTTCCTACTCGACTTGGATCGCCGAGGAGTACTTTTTTATCTGTGGTTTTATTGTAAAGTTACCTGTAACTTTTTAATTGAATTTAAAAATGGAATTGTATTTTTAAAAAGTGAATTTATTGTTTTTTTTTTTTATAAAAATTGTTTTGCAACTAGCTACACCTAATAGGTGGACATTGTATAGATGAATTCAATCTACTTTTTCGTTTTTTTTTCTGTGCCATCCAATATTAATTTACAAGGCTCGTCTTTATCGTTGCAATATTGTGGTCCTTTCTACGAAGTCGACTTTAGCAACTTGATATTTTAATAAAGTTTTTTGATACAATGTTGCGTCGAAGTTCAAGGCAAATGGCGTCACATTTCATACTAATACTGTTGTTTAATATTTTAAATCATAAAACGTGATATTATTAAAGTTCGTGTTTCTGATAAATATTAAATCTAATATTCGATACAGGTTCTAAGAAATACTTATAAACTTTAATATGGTACTACATTCGATATTTATGTCTTGTTTAATACATAGTTATGTCACGTATTTTATTTTCTCACGATAAAATTCTTATAATTTCATACGAACAGACCGTTCTGTAGCTGACCGTTTTACAGAATTATTGCCTGTTTATATTCTATACATCAATTCGAAATTCAACATTAAATACACGGACAAATCGTTACATAAATATCCAAATTCCTAACATAAATATTTTTATTATTAAAAGTTGTTCCGTGCCCGCGATAAAGCAACGAGTTAACCCTTGAAAAGTCGATGCAAATTCGCGCATAACATAAATAATGTATGGGCCCCGCACATAGATATCAGCACACGATAACTCCAGTTAGACAAAGATGGATGGTCAAATAAGATTTGTTGACACCTTAGCGCGATAAAATTTTTAATAAATCATCTGTCGTTTTCGAATTATTTACATATACGCCAGTAATTGGACGTTGGAGTAGCGTTCAGTCAACTTTATAGTCTGTTTATTGCCTTCAGAGGAATCATCAAAATTACATTTTATAACCCTTTATAATCAAAACCTATTTTATGGGTCATTTCGACCTTGGTGATTTACACGTGGGCCGTACGGCGGCGAACGTAAATCTGTTGAATAATTCAATTCTATTGCGTCCAGTAATTGCTTAAAGAAATAAAATGTTAAATAGAAATAAAACTTTCAATAAAATAAATTGTTAAGACTAACATATTAAAAATAAGTAATAAATATCGTTAGAAATAATAATATACAAAATACGAATAATTTAAATTACTAGGCGCTTCATTGTTGTAAACGTTTTGTTTTTTCTTTTTCTCGCTACTAGCTTAAATATATTATTATTTACAATAATACTAATAGCAATATTTATCTTGTTTCAGATGTATTGTGCCAGCTATTTACCTCAAGGACAAACATATATTGCAAAAGGTAATTATAAACGTCTATATTTAGATGTACCTATGTCAGTATAGAAGCTATTTATAAATTGTATCTGCCTACAGATTTTCTGAGCATTTTGACCTTGTATATTCACAAAATTTACTATACAAAACCGAGAGAGTAATGGTGTTAACAAAAATACATAGATGGAAATTACTTTATAGGATGTGGCAGAGATTTTGAACATGGTGTCTTAATGATCGCGTGGCTCAGCGGCTACGGACGCTACTTTGTAACGAGTTTCCTCGATGCGTCGCGCGTTCGATCCTCAGCCGCGCACGAGTTTTTGGGCCTTATCGAAGCTACATATTTGTTACATAAAATATGATAGTCAAATCAAGGCCAATATAAACTGTTCCCGACACGGTCGCGCTTTAGATAACTTATATCTTCAACGTATCACCGAAGGGGCCTACAATTTTATCAAAATTTATTTAAAAAATCAAAGATATTTCAATAATAAAACCTTAAAAAGTCTATTTTAATGCGACCATGAAGTTTTTTGATAATGCAGTTTAACGCGTATTATTTTATTCGTCGTCTGCGGTTTTTCTTACACGTCAAAGTTACACGTGTTATCCCCTAATCAATAAATAACCTTCGTGGAGAAAGTTTCGATAAAAAATTGATTGATCGAAAGGTAAAAACAAGGTCCTTGCGTCCTATTTATCAAAGTCGATTAGATACAGTATCGTAAGAATTTCACCTTAGTCCGTCTCTGACATTATAAGGTTACATTGGTATGACTTTAGACTGAAATCTAGTACTTTTTGTTGCCTATTTTTTGTCCTGTCATTTGTATAAGGTATCAAAAAACAGTAGCGGTTTGGCAATGATGAATTGCTAGTAGTAGAATTTATTGTAAAGTGGTTTTTGTAACTCTATATTTTTCTTTGCACAAAGCCAAGCCAATGTAACAGTGTTTTGGTCATGAGAACACCATCTTCGTTTGTTATGTTATTACATAGGTACTTCTAATTCTTCATTTTATCAAGATTTTGGACTATTTCTGAGAATTAAAAAAAAAAAGCAGTCCTTGAATCGTATTGTCCGATTAAGTTCTCAAAGGCACTAGACAGTCCCAGTTCTGGTCATTATATAAAATTAAATAATTATAATAAAACTTCTAGTCACACCATTATATCTAAGAAATACAATAAACAAAACCACAACAAAATGACCCTAAGCATTAATTCGTTAATACACAGTTTCACCCATTATCCCTATTTCTTTGTGCACGTCACAGCCGTCCTAAACCGCCCTAACCCTTCACCGACATACGGTGTCTTCAATACCCCGACTTTCACATCCTTCCTGTTTTAAATGTATTCATAACGCATAAAAACCTAATGCGTATCATTTGACGGTGTCTAGACAAAAGCCCACTGTCTATTGTCGGGTTAAAAGGACTTTTTTGCTGCCTTCGAAATTGGATCGGAAGATGCAACTGATAGTTTGCTCAGCGTGAATGGATATTACTTTCGTTTTTAACGATTATAAACGATATTTTTTGATCTTTGTTTATTCTTTTGTTCATATGGGTTAGTGGGTAATGTCAGTTGGTCTACCGGTTTTTTAGATGTGACTGACGTAAAACTAACGTAGGGTATGTAAGTACGTATATTTGTGACAATTTACTTGATCTTTTAAATAATTATGAAATTGTGCACTTACTTAATCAATTCAATAGTGTCATTTCGAAACACACCTTTTTTTCTGTAAAATTAAAATATTGTCAACGAAAACATGAATTACAAAACGATGCCGTAAAATATTATTGAATACGCCATTGTTACAGCCTCGTTAACTTCTCACCGTAACCCTTTTAACAACGTCTTACAAACCACCACAAAGTGCGCCATTGTCCCATCCCTATCTCTAACAATAAACTACTGTGCATTTAAAAATCTAAGCTACTTTGAATAAAGCATCCTATTGTGAATATTATAAATATTATGCTAATGCGATAAAGGAAATTTTTGACTTCGGGTCTTTATGACCAGGTGTCGCGTTGAAAGGGTTGAAGGGAAATCGCGACCCTACGTGTTCGATCATTTATTAAGATTTCTTCCATTGTCTACATTCTTATATTCCCATGCATCGTGCATAGAATGTCTGTGAGAAATGTTAGTGATATATTTATATTCGTATTCTAATGCACGCTTGTAAGCATTTGAATGAGATTCAAGACGGTTCATTGGTCATTATTTTATGGATTAAAGCTATTTTGAGAACGAATCTTATGATTTATGATAGCCGTTTTAAATATTTTTGTTAAGGAATTATTATTAGTGGTATTATAAAAGTTAAGATGTTAAGAATCATAAAATACCTACCTACGCGTGTTTGGACTTTTTAAAAACAGTTTTTACAGCTACGATTTGGTATAAGCCGTTAATAGATATGTTATTTTTAGATTTCTGTAGGTGGTTTATTGAGTTTTATAAATGAGAAATATCTTGTACCGTTTAATAAAAACTCTAGCAGTATAATAATCATATTTTTTATGTTTTTTTTTTTAATAGAAAGAAGTATTAAATTATTAAAGCCTAAGAGCTTGTTATCGAAACTTGACGACTGCCATAGTCATCGCAAGAAATGGAAAATTATTTAAATAATATACAATTACAAGTCCCTGTTGTCGTCAACAGTGGATCCGTGTAATTTCTGTAATCAGATATTGTGGTAATCGTAATCACAACGTCAGTAATTTATTTACATTTTGTTTGTTATTTACTTTTCGTCTTATTTTACAATTACCACCATTAACAATGTAAATAAATGTAAGTACGTTTGACAGATGTCAAATGAAGTCGCCATGTTGGTTTACTTGTCTATGGATTATTTTACGGCATTTTAATAATGAATATTGAAAGTATCATTACAGTATTTATTGCTGATAATAAAAGAGAATACTATTACAAGTTTTATTATTATCCGCTATTAACAGCAGTAGGCAAGTTCTGGTATTTATTGAATTTAATTAAAAACGCAGCGGGACACCGTATTGCCATATTTACATAATGTTTCAACACAAATATAAATTAAATGGGGATTATTAATTACGCCCATATGTCGTTTGAGACTAGTATGAGGGTGTTGTGAACTAGGTCACAGTACATAAACTTGTAGTAGGTACCTAACGAATTTATAACATGAAATAGCAAAACACATTTCTTTAAATATATTTAAACTCCCATTTTTCGCCAGTACCTAATTCAATAATTCCAATGTATTTTTCCCGCCATTTTGCTGCCGAATGTCATGTTATGACTGTAGATTTCAAAACTATAACCTTTTTCTTGGCTCTTGCTATGATTAGGAGGTAATAGGACTATAATACTTGGTTATTATATTATTATTATTAATGCATAGTTTATAGTACATAAGTCCGATATAAGCTTGTTCGCTTCACAAAGTTACCTAGCCTAAGGGAAAAACAGGAATACAATAATATTAAAACTACTTTAAATAAAATAAAATAAAATGCCGTTTCGACATTGTGCACTCCAGAAATACCTGTCGATAGGTAATTGCTGCTGTTTCCTCGACCGTTCAATTCCATGTGTTTAATTATATAATTGAGTTTAAAAAGAAAAATCGAAATTACTGTTTTACCTCGACTCTCAACGAGTCGTGGTTACGACAGTTTTGCACTTATCTCTTGCACGCTATTTCAAAAACACGAGTTTTGAATGCGTTTGTTTTTTTGTTTAATTTGGCTATGTTGTTATTTCCATTTTTGGAGTATAGCACAACTGCATAATGTACTTTTCACAAATGTTTCACACGAATAGTACCCAAGTGCATTTGCATATGATACCTACGGTGATGGTAAAAAACTTGCACAAAAATATGACAATATCTTTTACAGACAATTTATACCCACATAGTCATTTGCGGGTTAATCGAAGTACATAATTATAATAAAAAAATCTCAACAATAAACCATAAAGCATCATACGGTTCTAAAATCAAAAACATCAAAATTAGAACGCATGCATAGACATTCGTGTACATTTAAAAAATTAAACTTAGAATTCTTTTACGTGTACACAAAACGTATGTTAATAGCCCGCCTTACATATGGCCGTGCACAGCTGTTCCTATACTATTCTTATGCAAAACAGTATTTCGTTTTATCCCTTGTACTAGAAATAACCAGTAGTACTGTGCTGGAATCACGTGCAAGAGATGGTAAATAAAAAAAGCAGATTTTTTTATTATACATTACGATAAATGCACGTGTCCAAATAGGTACCTATTTAGGTAGTCGATGTTCAACGACCTCTGGCATTCTAGTGTAGACTAAATTCGATGACTTTACCTTGAGTTTCAAGTGTTAAATTGTATTAAAATCTGGTTGATTTTTTAAAAAGAGCTATTAAAATGTATGTATTTTTATCTTACGGCTGTAGAAAAAGGCTACCTACTTTAATTTAATACGTTTTCTCTATTAATAGCCGTTCATGAATACACATTTAATTTAATTTGTAATAAAAAGAAAATTAACAATTCATAATTCCCAGAAAAGGCTAATTGTCAGTCATTTTAAAATTGACTTTTAAATGTTCGAATTTTAAACAAAATAAAAAAAAAACGTTGAAACGTGCGTATCGTGTAAACGGCCACTATTTAAAATTAAAAATGTACATATTTTTAATTAGATGTGACGCAAGTCTCATATAGTAACTTTAACAAACACTTGTGTGAAGAAACATGGAGTTTTATGGCCGCCATAAATTATTTACGAGTGTTCCTAGATAATATGGTGACGGGTCGTCATTATTCAAAGTGTTTGGACTAGTACACGCACATGCAAATTAAATAATTTACTAAACGAACCTTAAAGATACCTTACACTTAGGTTAAAAATCATAAAACAATAAAAAAAGTAAAGTAGCATAGACAGTTAAAATTTGTAAATCAATTTTAAATTCAGAACCACCGTAGTAGTGTCTATGTTCTTTCCGTGTTGCCATGCAAGTTCATTGGCTGAGCCATAAGGAAAATAATACAAAAATTGTAGTATAACCAGAAAATATTGCGCAATTATCATGTATGGATATTTTTAACTTGTAACTGGCTGTTAATGGCGGCCGAAATCGGTTTAGTCTTTAAAAATAAACATCTTAGTGCGAATTTATTCAATAGGTACTTCCCTAAGTATTTGCGTGAAAAAATCGTTAAAGTTTTATGATCCGTGTTTTAATTGTATATTTAAAGCGGTTTGTTTAATCTAAATTAGGATATAAATAAAAAATGTACGCCAACGCATTAAAATTAAAATACAAAGAAACATTTAGATGCCTGCTTGCCGATGCATTTGTCAGCTCAGCGCAATAATATCTTAACTAATCAGTAGTTAGTTAAATTCTTTAATAATATTAGTGTCTTTCTTTTTTACGTCAAATTTTTTGACATTGCAATATAAAATTTTATAATAAAATTATAACTCATTAGTAACCATGGTTTTATTATTAAACTTTACTACTTTATTTATTATTAACCAAATTAATTCAGCGCCAACATTTTTTTTTACTTTTTAAAATTAGAATGAATGTCATACTCACTATAAATCTTATTTATAGTTTTTATTTATTCGAAATTCGAACAATAAAGTCATTGACGTCATTGGACGAGTTTATTATCATATTTGAAATAATATCAGTTGAAACCGATCAATATAATAAAATTAATTCATAATTGATATTTTGGGCTACTTTTTGGTATAATAACTATAATAATAAGCCATTTAGATGTTCAAAATGATTTATTTTAATTTTAATTACCAGTTTTCTGTGCATAAAACGTTATGTAGTACTGAAATTATTGTACAGCGATCTGATACGTGTGTCGTGTCATATTATATATGTATACTTCATACGTTATGTCATTTAATTTGGTGGCTTCCTCAATAAAATTTTATAGGCGTTAATTAAAGTGACTGAGGGGAACGCAAGAACGCGATAAACGAACGTTTCTCACTCTTAGCAAAATTGTTTTTTTTTTTTAATACAAATGTGCTTGCAACAAGGCTTTTTGCAAAATGGTTCCTTCCACCTGACGGATGTCGAATGCAAGACATAAAATGGTTTAATAATAGGTCTTAAAAAAGTACTGGATTTTTAGTACCTATGAAACTAACCATAACTTGGTTTGTACGTACTCATGTTAAATCTTAACAAGCGATTTCTATCTTTTAATTTGTTCTCCATGTGTAATAAAATATTAAATAATGTACACTTTTATGTCAAAATTAGTATTTTTAACTACAGACACCTAATCAGTGTAGTAATTTTTTATCTACAATAGTTGTTTACCCATCTTTCAAACGTAGGTAAATGTAATCTTGTCTGTGTGTCTGTTTGCTGAAACAAATGATAGTGACAAATGTAGACTTTTCCATGAATAGGTCTATTATCTATCTATATCTAGTTTTATTTTATTTCTTAGGTTGTTTCTATGTCGATTTGTTAGACAATATATTGTTACCTTTATTCTAGTTATGTTTTTTAAGAACACTTTTGTTTCGTATAAACGTAATATTTTACTCTTTTTAATTTTTGGGGCTTAGGTATCATATCTGTAGATACCTGTTATAGAATTTCATTATAAAGGCTTCAGTAAGTAATGTCTATTAGACATCCGTTTTTGTCTTGAATTTGGAGTGGAATTGTTTGACAGAGTCTGTGTTTCCTGAAGGGTATAACCTGGGAGTCTTCAAGGCCCGAGTGAAGCTTATGGGTCGACGTGCTCCATCGTAGACCGCATCATCGCTTACCAGGCTAAATATTAAAAATTGGATCATAATTGTAACACATAAATAAATAGTTACCTAATAACTAGCGATATTAAATCCTCAAATTTTCCTTGACATAATCACAATTCCACTAAAGTACTAAATGACGCTTAAAAACAAAAAAAACTGAAAATAAACTCAAGTTGTAATTGAAAACAAAACACCGTTTTATCGTAGTCTTTTGTTTTATTAACAATGAAAGATATTGTATTAAGTAGAAATAAAGCAATTATTAATATTATTATTTAAGGGGAAGGGCCTAAAAGTAGGGCAACACCGTTATACCGCGATGTAATATAGAGTACTCAAGTGCTGTTGACAGCTCATAAATAATATTAGGTCATTGTACTTTATTAACTAATTAACTACGGCTAGAAACGAAACCCGTATCCTTGACAAAGTATTTCAGATTTTAGCCCGTAAAATTATGGTATTTGTGATAACAAACACGTTTCTTGGTGGCCATTTTGGTTTCGTTTAGTCAAATGTAGATTAAAAGGTTAAAATTAAATGTAGGTACTATTATGTTAGTTTGTACTTATTTCTATATCTAGTAAAATGTGTTAAACGTGCGTTCAATTAAAACATTGCATTTATTTTTTGTCCGGTCACCCTAAAACTTCCTTATTAATAAATTTATTTCTATAATTCCGGAACTTCCAAACAAATAAAAACATGAAATAAAAATAATCCGCGAGCCTTCATGCCCATTGAGCATTACCCTCTGTAAAATTATGTTAAGAATTATTAAAATATGGTGGCCATACCTACCCCTGTGATCAGTCATTGCGCAGGCGTGGTTATCGGACTAATCGCCCCCGCCACGGAATGAAATGGACGCCATCTTGCTTTACCATTTTTAAAAAATCCTCATTCATTGGCAATGAGCGCTAGCGCATTCTGCCTTGTTTGGATTGATGGATCACTTGCATGAATTATTTAATACAATTTTAAATATTATTTCAATTTCTATGCTAATTTCTTTTATAGTGTTGCTTTTAAAGTTTTTGTTATAGATGTTTCCCACAATTATTGTCGACAAGGATTGTTTAAAGTTGATTGTTTCACAGACAATGGTCTTAATTTCTCATTGACAATAGCTGTGGTCAGCTTGCACCGAAACTGTGAATATGATTAATCGATTGCGTGTAATGGATTAAACCGGCTTTCTACGAATGAATAAATCGATGTTATCTATATGTTTTCTGTAGCTAGAAACTTATCTAGCAATTAATTCCTAGTAAAATAAAGAGTAATTTTCTACACCACTAGAAATTCTAGATTTTGATCTCGTAATCAGATTACCTGCTTACTTGACCGTCGGCTTTCCAAAGGTTCGTTTTCAACGGTTTTTTCTCGCGTTATTTTTCACGATACGCCACGATAAAACCTGTGTATAAATGTGGAGCGTGCAAGGCCTATCATGAGGCGGCATCGCCACTTTGTCAGTTACCGTGTTTTCACGTGCAACAAAAAGTAGTTTTTGTAAGCACGCTGAGAGGTCAAAAATGCGGACGAACTCAAATTACGACCGAGACGACGACTTACCGATTTCGTTCTTAAGTAAAAAAAAACAAAAATATCAACTTTATTTTCGTCACTTTTACAGCTACTGGGTAGATTTATTTTGGAGCATGCAAACGTAGAATTTCGTTGGCTTTTTGTAAATGTCGTGTAAGATAAACGAGGTTTAAACAAAGGTTGATATTTTCTATAAACAATGTAGGTTTTTAGACCTTGACATATAATTAATATGACATGAGCACGTGAAACTAATTATATTAATTTAAACAGCAATTAATTAAATGGAACACGTGTAGGTATAGTTAGTTTTTTATTCATACGAACGTTTAATGGCATCAATGTGTTTACAGACTAAAAAATAAAAACGCAAATAAGAAAAACAAATATTTATTTGAAAATGCAAACGATTGACAGGTTTTATGAAAAGGTTAGGTAATTAATAAATAAATTAATGATGTTTAACTGAATGATTGTTTAATACCTAATTGCTGTTTATTATAAGATACACGTGTTCATATTTTAAAAGTCGTAAATTAAATTAGTACTTACCTAACCTACACATTTATTTTCTGTGTTTTATTATAACTACGTCTATTACCATAACTAAGATATAAACACCGAATAATAAAGCATATATTTGTTCACACCATTACTCTCGGACAAACAATCTGCATTACTTACAACTTTAATCCTAAACAAAAAAAGAAAAACATGATTTTAAACAAAAAAAGAATCGATTCTCGTTACAAAATCATATCGATTAACCAAAAACTTCTTACGTTTCAGATGTGTCGGAAACACGAGATCGAAAAAAAAGAAAAAAAAGAATACCACAGAGGCGGCCAACCTGTTGTGTGCACGGGAGACATTTGGTGAGCGCTCCATATTATTCTTTATCCTTTTCTGTTCCACTTTTTTAAGAAAAAAAACAAGAAAAAATGTCAATAATACGACCCTTTGAAAACGAGATAGGAATGGGGTAAAGTTTGTGGTACACTGAGATATTTTTGAGAAAAGATTTTCTGTTATATTTTTGAGTGAAAAAATTGTGTGTGATTTTTAAATGCTCATAATGTTGGTGAAGTGTTTATTACCAGCGGTTAGTTGCGAATTTATCAATGAACTTATCATACTACGGATACAAATTTATCACTAGAGGTTCACATTGCACTATCGTTTAATCTCTTTATCTGCTAATTAAATGATAAAATATAAACAGAACTGAATACATAAGTCACCTTGTTATATTATGTTTAATACATTATTTCATTTGTTTCAATTATCATTTCAAACTTAACGGATCAACTAAAATTAGTCTTTGACAGACAACGTTCTATATTTCGTAAGGAATTTGACACTTAGTAATTACTAAATTCTTGTAACTTGCAATAATTTTGACTAGTAATCAAAGATAATGTGAAGTTAATTATATTGCTTTTAAATATTAATAAGTAACTGTATAAAGCGTCTTGGTAATGCAATGATTGGCGAGTGTGTGGACTCGTTGTGTCTCATTCCTTATTTCCTATCTGAGCGGACCACTCCAGTTGAGGTTAAGTGCAGGTATCGTGGAGTTTTTTCGTTTTTTTTTTATTCAAGTGCCGTCGGAAATAGTTATAACCTATTTATTTTACTTTCGAAATTGGGGTTAGGATAAAAGTTAATTTGCGTCGGTTCGTGAAGGGTTAGAGTTTTTTCTGGATATTTATTACACGGAATTAATACTTTTATGTTCTTTATTGAAGACAGTTGTGTGTGGTGCCTCATAATGACTGTTTTGGAAGTTTTTTCTTTAATAAATCTTTTGTTAAGACGTTTTTACGCGCGTATGTCAGATTAAAATGTTTTTTCTTGTGCCTACAAACGAGAAATCTTCTTTAATAAATAAAATAAATTGCCTGGCATCCCCACACTATAAGGCTCATCTTACAACAATTAAATGAATCATTCGGCCTGTCCTTAAAGTCATTAAAACGGTCAAGACCCCGGATTCGCGCGAATTTCAAATTTACATTCTACATTTAAAAATTTGATCCAAACCTCTTTTGTTTGTGTAATGTACAATTTTATGAACATTAACATTTTGTATCAAAAATAAAATGTGCATTTTCCTTGAAACACCTCAATCATTGTTAATTTGATTACTTTTTGTCACTAACGTACAGACGGACATACAATCAGGGGACTTGTTGATATGTTTTAAATTATATAGTGCTGGTATAGCAGGGCTATTTTGCTATCCATTCATTGGCCCCTATTTGTCGGACTTTGTGTCTTATTATTAAAGTGTGGAAGGTGATTTTCGTTTGTACTTCGTGAGCGATCAGTTCAAAGAAATACATGTGAATGCTCTACCTGTTGTGAGTTGTGATGTGTGGAAGGTTGTATGCAACAATGTTGCAGTTTTATAATTGAAACAAACATTCGTTTGACAGTTTAATAAACGAGATCATTTATCGGACAATGTTATTATTAATATATGTCTACGAAAAGCTACTAAAAGAAAAAAAAATCAGAATACCTAATATATTATTGAAAACGAAGTTGATTTTTGATTCTCTGCTATCTTGACTTGATGTCTTACTATACTTACTCAAAGCGAAGTTTCTAAACTGTTTGTCTAACAAATCACAAAAAACGAATAAACCTAATCAATTCTAAAAAAATATCAACACTACCTACATACGTGGGTTCTTTTTTCAATTTTCAAAACTACACACATAACTATAATGTCTTCTATCTGTGTAACGCCTTCATTGGTCTATCTAACATAGATACATCGCTACACCTGCTCTGCGACCGGTTATAGCGGCATAGAGTAAAAAAATAATCTTTTTCATTTTAAAAATAACATTTTTTTAAATGCCCCGACCGTGAGACCTACATTTTGTTTATAGTTTCTTGTTTATATTTCACCACTTGGTGACGACAAAATTGTTTAAACTCAGCAACTGATAATGTTGTAAGAACCAGGCTTAGACCATGCATGTGTGGTTTAAAATTGTTTAAAAAAGTTGTTTCTCTATTCATTATTGGTAAAAAAATAGTTTTCTTTTTTTCAAAAATGTAAGAAATAAAATCAGACTGTTAATGAATGTGCTTAAATATCTCTATAATTGAAGTTCCTGATTAAAACACTCGTGTTGTAAGATTGTGTAAATTACATAGCCCACAGATTATGATCAGTTCTACTTAGCGCGCGAAAACGTTTCAAGTAGTCTAAATATGGTCACACCTTTGACAGCCCTTGGCCAAGCCTAGCCATAATACCCATAAGTAATGTTATCTACTTAGATATGTATAAGCTGATAAGTATACCTATAATTATCGTCCAACTGCCTCCCTCATTTTGTTTATCTATATGCCTCTACGCCGACCCATTAGCTGCATGTTTAAGATAAAATATCTATTTGGAAAGTTCCAAACCTCCGTAGGGTGTAAATGAATAATTAATTAAGTTTTAATTTAGGCAACTATAAAACTGTTCGGTTGGTCAAGAGTCATTCAGTGAATACCGCGACCGGTTCTCAGTATCTTACTGGACGTTTGGTGCGATCGGCCACGCCCGCGACCGCCATATTCAAATTTCAAATATCGAATATTTTTCCGTTTTTGCCGATCAGTGTTGAAACCAGTTTATTTTTTATTTCCATCAGTCTCCAGATTCGAGCAACATGTGGACCGATTTGAGACACTATCGAGTCAATCGTCCTGCGTTCGGATATTCACATCGAGCGATTCTGTATGCGCAAAAAATGATAAAGGACAGGCCTAACAAAGAGTTAGGTTATGCAGGTCGCAGCGGGCGTTGCACGCCTGTAAAAAATAACGCAAAATCATCGCCAGTGCAAAAACACTGACATCCGTGACTCATATTTTTATACCTTTACGGAACGACTAATAAAGGAAATTTGTTGTCCGCTGCTAACAAGTATGTCGGTCGTTTGAAATACAATGATTAGCTGTCATTTGTCACTTTTCGTGTCTTGCTTGTGCGCCGACCGCTCATTGAATGTGACACAGAGGCCATTAACGTCGACTGAAAACTAAATATATTGTGTAATTAGCACCTTCATGTAAATTTGTTGGCTTAAAATGATGGCATTGACATGCACGGCTGATCTTCAAAAAGGTGAAGAGCGCATTTCAATTACTTAGCGATAGTTTACAAATAGTCACGTAGCTTTCTAAAGGGGCAGGTCACGTTAGGCCACTTTCTTTTAAGAGCCATTGAATTTGGCATCTTACATCGTTAGCCATGCAAATAATGCGGTGATCACTACAATAGACGCGCACAAAAACTGTGGCAAGCAAAAAGTTGTGCCGTCAAATATCGACTAGGATAAACAGTCATAAGTTGACCGTGGCAAGGTCGCGGGGATTTTGAACTTGGAACAAAAAATATTCCACATTTGAATATTGCATTTTGGCTCGACTGATTGATGGGATTTCTTTTCACGGCACGCGATTGATTCGCTTTGTTTTTTTTTTAGTTTCCATTCACGCTGCATTCTCATTTAAGAATTTTAAAATTATATTCAATTGTTATTTATTCTCGAATCTTTTGTTGCAGGTCTGTACGTAAAATGCGGGTGTAACGACTCTTAAATTGTGAGTTATTTTTAAGGTTTTGCTTATAACAAAAATGCATAAATTATCTGGCCACATGCCAGATTCCTTGTATGGTTGTGAGAAAAACAAGGCAATTTTGATATTTGCTTTTTATATGAAGATGTGGAGAAAGAAATTCCACTTTATAAGACGCCCCCGATATCCGTTATGCATATCGGCCTTATACGGGCCCTAGAAGAGTGTCGGCCGTCGCATTGTCTTTCTGTCCGTCATGAGTGAGTCACGCCATTGTTGGGTTACACAATAGATGTCTTTGTGCATTGTGCCCCGGGGACCCTGATGTTACGTATTTTGTAATAATTAGTCGACTTCTATTTGACTCACAAATGATAATTACTCATGCGCCTACTTTCTAAATTTCCAATCCTTAGATCGACCGCGAAATAAGTTTTTCTGTGATACGTAACGCAATATCTCACACGGCACGCGTTTAGGGGTGCACCCTAATGCAGTGGAGAGCGAAAAAACGAAAAGGGGTCCGTCCAGTATAATAGATATGCGAAAACTCAATCGCATTCGCTTCTAACAATAAAATCCAATGATCTAACTTCGTTTCTCGGTCAAACGAATTGCACCCCTATTTCAGCGAAATACGGGGTACATTTAAAAAAATCGATTCTTCTAAATTTATCCCCTGCAACTTGTAGGCGGGAAAAGTGGTCGTTCGTTCAGATATGTCAAAACAAATTAGCGGTATACTTGTGTATGTAGAACCGGCACTATTTTTATCTCACTCACATCACGTAGGTGCGAAAAAGATGAAATATTATGAATATTGAATATAATTTATCACCAGTTTTCCCCTTTTGGCGTTTATCGATGTGTGGGCTATGAATAAGGAGTTTTAGAAGTTGTGAATTTTAGCGTCAACTGTAAAACAGTACAATAGAACTACTTGCGAATGTTTTATTGCAATTTAAAAGCCACTATAATAAAAAGATGTAAGTATTTTCAAAACAACAGACTCATTGTATTACTAAACAACTCCTCTTTACTATTTCTAAAATTAAATATGTACTAAAACACTCCCAAAAATGTAAATGTTACGAACGATAATGAACAAAACAACACAAAATTTCACGTATCACGTCCAAAATAATACTAAAAAACAAAACCGATTCGGTCGACCAGCACATTTGTTATAATTCCCACAAGAACAGTTATATAAATTGCTCCAAATCTTCAACTTAATGAAACTTCCACCACAAATCATCGCGTCACGCACCCCCAAAAAAATCGACTAACGCATTTCGTACATCAAATAATTTATCGAATAATCGAATAAAACACGTAATAATCGTTATCGGGTGCAATTACATCGATAAACGTTTGAAATTGTAAATGTCTGATAATAATTACGTTAGCCGCGATAATTTGCCGCTCCATTCGAATAAATTTCACGTTAGCGAACATGATCAGATAGCGGTATTGTTTTACAAAATGGCTGATCAGTTTTTAGTGGTTTTATTAAAATTTAATTATTGACAAAATTATATTCACATATTCTTCATATAATGTGAAGGATCTCACAAAGATCACACCCCATTAAAACGCAGTAATTTCCCAGTATCACCCAACTTTAGTCGAATAATCGAAGAATTCGAATATGGAATAGCCGAAAATATTTAAACGAAATTGCTCACTAGTAATTCAAATAACGAATGATGAGTAGAGTGGGTGGCGACGTTCGTTGATGGGGTAAAAATTACCCCCGAGGGGTAAACACCCTATGTAGTGATGTGTGTTTATGTGTGGAGGAGGGTATGATAATGGCGTATTTCCTGCCTGCCCCACAGCTCTCGTAATGTGAAATTTTGCATTGCACGCACTTTAAACAAATTTATTCGGTAGTTGAATAAAAGGTTGGAACTTTTTGTTTCTTTTAACTCATTCGTTCGTTTGCCGGTAAAAAGAGCAAAAATATACATACCTAGTTTTCGCTTATTGTATAATCACGCTGTTTACTTTTTATAACCCGTAATAAAGATTATGACTTCACAGTTCAACAGCACATTGTACTAAAATATCATTCCGTAACATTTTTACGTTTTTATTGGCCTCCATAAAAGTAAAATATAACTTACAAAATGCTCGTTTAAATGCACCCATTAAACGCCTCCCTGAAATAGCCCGAAAACGAGTGTATGCATTTTAGCGGCCCGGCTGAATGCATTACATACGGCCATTTTGACAGAAATACAGATAAAATGTGAAATGTTGTTTGTTTGTTTGTCAGTTCAACGTTTTATAATATTATGCGCATGTTATTTAACAACTATTGTAGCACAATAACTATTAAACTATCCACACTGTTGCAATAAAACTAAACGAGTCAACTCATATGGAAAGTTTATTAAAACACAAATAGAAGGCAGAACACCAAACACTAAAGTGCGCGTTCGTTCACAAGTAATTACACTAATGTACGATGCCCTTGTAAACTGTTTTAGGGTTAACATCGTATGCGGTGGAGCGTCCAAATGAAAATACCAACTTGTAAACTGCAAATAAACTTAACGTCTAAAGAGAATGCTTTGGATTCCATTATATTTTATTTTGTTCTGTGTGTTACTGACCTTACACTAAAAACCATGTACAGTCGATTAGACCTTTTAATTTAAGAACTAATAAAATGAATACTAAAAAGGTTACATTACACAAAAAAAATGGTACTCATTTTAATCGTCTATAAAATTTAAATATGGAACGCGCGGGAAATGTCGCCGCCATAAACGCACGCATGCATGCATCGTCTTTTGGCAAGAAACTAGTTTTTACTAAACCGTTCCCGAGCACAATGAGGGCCCATTCAAGGCAATAAACCTTATTCGGGCAATTATTTTCACAGAGTCACTACACTATCTATCTATTCATTATGTCTGGTTTCTTGCGTTACACGTTTTGAATTATTTATTTGCGTTAATATCAATTCAGATGCGACAAAAGGCCTGCTAGTTGGTACGTCTGTGTTGGCAGCACTGCCGTTCCGTTCGCCGGCCAGATTGGCGAGAGCCATTCACAGTCGTCCGCATTAGTGATGTGAGTTAGACGTAGTGTTCCGTTATCCGCGCGGAGGGGTCACCGTAGGCTGGTTATTGTGTACGCAACGAGCGTCAAACGCGTATTTATTGGACATTCGTAGCGCTGCGTCAGGCGAAGAAGATACGGAGTTTAAACTGCCAAGTGACACGCGAGCATTAAGTACTTTGTATCAAGTTTCGCCGGATTCCGTTCACTACTTGAGTTATACTGTGTTGCCGTGTGTAGGGGCACTTATGTGCGTCGCGTGGAGTCACAATTGAGCCGTTCATACATATTTAGTCGGCATTAATTTCGTCGAATCGGATTAAATGGCGATAAAACGTAACTTTCACGTACATTTTACGTAAACATAACGTCGCGAGTGTGTTTTGTGCTTGAACTCCTGGATTGCGCCTAATCGGTGAGCTCAACATTTTTTCGTAATTATTTTTTTTATTTGCACATTCTTTTTTCATAATTAATGTTACACTGTCGACAATGCCTTTGAATTGTTTTGTAGATTAGAAAAAGTAATAAACTTTCAAAAAATAATAAATTTTACTACTTGAAAAATATTTTATAATAAAATATCTTTAGAACAATACATAGGTACATAGATAATATTGTGGCATTATATCTTAGGTACATTTGCGTATCTATACAAATATGCAATCTCTCTCACTTATCACAGAGATAATATTTCCTGTGTGCGATAAGAAGTTTAAAATATACGTTTATATAACTAAAAGATCTCATTTTGAATTATTTCTATAAATTAACCGTTATGTAATAAAAACAAATGCAAATTATTTTATTTGAAAAAAAAAATCAGCAGTTCCATTTTTAAAAATTATTCTTGTTCATTAGTGGCTAGAGTTAAAAAGTTTTTGACACACCCAGAACTTAAAAATAATATGTAAGTAATTTTATGTAAGTACCTATATTTTTAGCACTGCGCCTTATTCAACTAGATATGTATATACATATTTACATAGAAAAGTCTTCCAAAAAACATGAAGACTCGTGTACACAAACCGTGATAACATTACGGAAATATCCATAAAAGGTGGCTACATACAAATCCCTCTCATTTTAAGGATTTACAGTTGAAATTAGTTCGCAAATCTCAGGCTTAGGCGCCCCCCGAACAAATGTAGATGAGTCTTATGGGTAAATAGCTCTCAGTGTACCCCGGCTTTCGTTTTTATTGTTTAGAAAAATGCGTGTTCTTCTTCGACGTAGGGTTGTGAGAAATAATGGCGCGGAAAAAATGTTATAATTTTAAAGAAAAAAAAAATATATTACCTCTGTATTAGAGGAAGTTAAAAGGATTCATGTATTACAATAAAAAGTCAAAGCCACATTACGCTTATTTTGTGAAGTATAAAAATGTGTAAAAATCACATTTTATTTCCGAAAAAAAATATAGGGAATTAATTTTCGATACCCTTAACAAGTGACCAAAATTCAAAATTACTGTGTGTCTACTAACTTCTAATCGTAAACTATATTTTGTTTATCTATGGTAACTATTTCTAACACTTAAATATAAAAAAAAAATATTAAAAAACTTGGAGCAGTCATTTGACCGCTTTGTAGATAAATGATTTTTGCCATCTATCTAGTGTTCAACCAAACTCTTTACAACTAGTTATCCGCAATAACGTAAAAAAAACGATTACTAAACAATAACCATATCCACATAGCAACGTTTAAATAACTAAATTCTAAGAAACTAAAGTAACTAAACAATTTGCGCTAATATACAAATATTAGTCTGTCTGTCTTCCTAATTGTTTGTTGTATCAACATTCTTATTTTAAACTATTCGTTGTTTTTTGTTTTTTAAATGACACTCTTTGTTGCTTAAAGTCCTAAGCAGTTCTAGCCAACGGAATATTTGGCTGGCTGTAAAATATTTTTGTTTAAAGAAAGTAACTGAACTATTATTTTTTACTTTTGTTAAGAACCTTTTTAACGAAATGTTGAAAACAAGGGATCTCGGGTTCGATTCTGTAGTAATACTGGGTTTTAAAAAATTCTCAGTAGTAGCACGGAGTCTGGAATTGTGACCGGCATATGGCAATAGGCTCACCCCCTATTACATGGGACTCATAACATAAATAGTGAAAAGTGAGTGTTACATTGTACAGTGACACCTTTTTTACCTAGGAATAAGATAAAAGTTTTTATTCATAATAATATAATTAAGAAATCGATGATAATCATGAAGTATCTACACGAACA